GGCTTTTAGAATTGTTTTATTTGAGTTTTTTGGCTGTGTTATAGCAAATGTATTACTGTGTTAGTGTGCCGTGTTTACCACGTCTGGGCATGAGTCATCACAATGGAATGCAGGGCATCAACCAATAGGCATGCAGCTTTCCTCTATACTTCTTGCTGATTGGCTGTTGGGATTTAACTTGATTAACACCCGCACAGAGCATTTCCACCTGCACAGAGCATTTCTTGCTGATTGGCTGTTGGGATTTAACTTGATTAACACCTGCACAGAGCATTTCCATACTGACAGTATGTCTTTATTCAAGTGTTTTGGTAGGTATTTCAAGCTTTTCTGCTCCAGCATTGGAATGCGGGGCATGAACGTTTTTTATTTTATTTTGAAAATCAACAGTTTGCATTATGCAATTAAAAATCCTAACCAATAAAGTAGGGAATAGCTATCCAACTGTTGTTTTAGTTGTATGTTACTTCATATTATAGTTATATCAATGTAAATCATTGTTTTCCCTTGTGTTTCTCATTCTTTCCCTGCCATGTGGTAAAATGTGGTGAACCCATCGCTGTATTTGCTCCAAAGCAAATATTGGCCTTTCTAGTTTAAAACCGTTTCCTCTGTGTGGTATCAAGGGCTAAGCTTAAATAATAGATCTCTCTCTTACGTTGCCTTCCGTTGTTCTTTCCAGGTCCCCGCTGCAAAAACGGCTACAGACTCGTCATCGGGAACTGCATCAAGCTCGATGCCACGCCGGGCAGGGACTGGATTTTCGGGAAGTCCCATGATGGGGCAAAGGAGGCATGCAGGAAGGAAGGAGCCACATTGGCCATGCCGAAGACGAAAGAACTGGACGTCGCTCTGAGAGATCTGGTCAAAAGGGGTGGATTCAACAAGGAACACTGGATCGGTATGGAGAAGAAAGACGGAACCTGGTATTGGGTGGACGGGTCGGTGGTCGGCCAGAACGGGTACAAGGTATGTTGGTACGACATGTTTATCACTGATAGCGGATTACGCAAAATTTCTTCCCTCTAATATCATAAAGCTGTCTGAATGCCTCTCGATCGTACACTTTTAAGTTACACTTATACATGTAACCAGTGATCTCTATGCGTTTTAAAATGAAAACAAATAAAATGCACCCGGGTACCCAAAGGTAACTAAGGTATCACAATGCATGCCACAGTTCAGCTTATCTCCTTTTAAATTTTTCATATCTATTCCAATAACTCCGTACGCAAATACGGTTGCCTCTTTGACGTTTTAAAACTCTCCTGCTCTTCAAAAAGGGATGGAATCCAGGTGAACCAGGCCGTTGGTCGTGTGGACAGTACTGGACAAAGGTCAGTAATCTGAATGAATGCAATTAATGATGTTGGCGTTTTAGATCTGGATGCTACAGGTAATTTTTCTCTTTCTTTTTATTTTGTTAAAACGCTTTACTTAAGAAATTTCATGTCTGTTTGAATGTAGTATTCAGCTAGCTGCTCTGAGGGCCATTTGTGTGTATTTAGATGATTTTCTTGGTTCTTTGTTCCGTGCAAAATTTGGTAACTATTGGCAATTTAGAGATCAGAAAATTCATCTCGAATAGCGCCTGAACGGCTTTCGCTACTCAAATTTGGTGACCTTTCCTACAATGTACCTAGCAACAATTTCATATTAAAGAGATATGTCAAATAGATTTCAGCGTTGCCACGCCAACGGTTAATCACAGTCAGTTTTTGGAAAATTCCGTAAATTTCATTTAATCATTAAAATTTTTAAGATTCATGTTCAATCATACGCCCTTTCTAACATTAAAAACATTATATATACTTAAATGTAAATTTTTAAATTATACATTTATGATTCATGCTAATTCGATGTCATCATTGCTTAAAATCAAAGGTGGCAAGATAACCACTTTCATCGCAACTCCGTATTCTCTAATATAAAACATTCATTAGAATATCTTAGGTCCATTTGGGGTTGTGTTTTTAGGCTGTATCTTGAAACTGTAATTAAAAAAAAATTAAGATTGTGACGATTCAAGATGGCGGACAGCTAGAATATGCATGGTGCCATATTATAAAGTCAATTTGACACTAGTGTAGTTGCCAGGGGTTACGTAAGTCTTATTAGGCCTTAATATTCTATCATAGACAGTTTTCAAAGGTTGGTTGTATTCCCCTAAGGTTTACAAGAAAACCCAATTCGAAGGTTTTATTCCGAGAAATCGCAAAGATGACGTCACAATGACACAAAAAGGTGTTGTTATGATTCAATTTTTACTAAAACAGCATCCTCTGAAAATCTGGCGGCCCTGCGATCAGCATCAGCCGTCGTCTCTTGTGGACGGGGTAAGTTACTGCACAACTACATTCCACAGGGATCTGTCAGTCATGGTTGACTTAAGATCTCCTTTAAGTAGTTGCTGAGTTACAGGGGGCAGGCTTCAAAAGCATGTCCGTCCGAGCATGTTAAGATAAAAGCCCGATCTGAATCAGTCTAAAACTCGATTAGCTAACTTTGGACACTCTTTTCTTACATAATTCCCATGGATTAACCTCCCAAGTCATCCGGCTGGCTCTTCTCGTGGTCTGGATATCCCATGTGGGACGACGATGCTTGCTTCAATAAGAAGAGATTCATCTGTCAGCGTCCTCCAGCCTAAATGGAGAAATTTCAATATACATTCTGCCCAACATTGCAGCATATGAAATTCTACTAAACATGTGTTTTAATTTTTAGCGTAGCAAGGGGTATCAAGCTATAGCGAGGTAGAGAAAGGATAAAATATGCATTTAATGGTTGACGCCATGCTATGAATTTCAAAATGGCCCCCGTTGAGCCCACGCTAACGGAAGTTAGACTTTATTATGTTACGATTATTAACAGTAGACTTACATGTACATACAATAATGCAAATACATTGCAATGGTGCACAAACATATAAAGTGCATATTGGCCCATGCAATGTTATGTAGTTTGGCCTTTTTTTGATCGAGCTAAGCCTTGTGACGATACGAAGTTACAATATATTTGAAGACTTCTAGAAAATTTTTAAACTAGCAAAAAAATTGCTGTCATTAGATTGAATTAGAACTAGAGTTCCCCGATCTCATACCTTCGCCAAATGATGTTAAACTTTATGACTGACAAAGTTTAGATTAGATTATTCCCCCCTGATTTAAGAAATAGGAACCTAATTTTCATTAATTATATCATTTTATCATAATCTCAGCCAAAAGACAGTCTTATATTAACAAAGAACGCATTCTAGCATTTCCTAATCAATTATGCAAATGAGGTCCTGATTTGAATAAATTATGTTCAATGATGTTCATCTCAATTTAACTTTCAATACCACAAGTATGAAATTCCAGGCAGTTATCATTACATAATTATAAAAATTTTCTCATTAATTATGCAAATTAAGTCATTATTAACATAATCAACATCTTCCTGTGTTTCTCTCGTTGTCAATTACCAATGTCACAAGCTTCAATTGTCCTATCATGGAATGCAGCTGATTTATAGAATTTCCCCATAAATTATGCAAATTACATCCATATTTGCATAATTGTCACATAATTATATTAAGCATCACGTAAGCTACCTACATACCAAAAATCACGACGATCCTTCAACCGGTTCTTGAGTTATCCCCTTTTGAATATTTTCAAGAATTTATTCCTGCAGTTCCAGAGCAAGCCGCTAGGGGGCCTAAACTCACGTCACTTCTCTCCCAGCACAAGAGCTACCTACTATCTAAATTTCATCACCATAGCATGTCTAGATCATGAGATATCAAAACCGGAAGTTCAGCTGCAGTACCATAACAAGCCGCTAGGGGTCCAAATCTAATCATTTTGAGGTCTCATCAAGACCTACCCACCTACCAAGTATCAAGACAATCCATAAAGGCCTTCTCAAGTTATCGTGTTTACAGACAGACACACACACACACACACACACACATACACGAACCGCCCCTAGAAAACATAACCTTCTTGGCGAAGGTAAAGTATTTTACATTAACACATATATATATATATATATATATATATATATATATATATATATATATATATATATATCAAGGGCCAGTCTTTATAAACAATGAATAATAACAAATATTAGATGTACTGGCTGGGATTGTGTAGAATATATTGGACATTTTGAGTATACAGATACAATTACTTTAGACCGAGGTAGAATTTTTCTTCTAAATATGGTTGCACACCAATACTACACACCCATATACACCTATACAAGATTCTGGGATATCACTTGATGTAAAATTTGAATGCATAACTGAGTTGATGTTGGTCGGTAAAAACACCATCTGTAAGTTTAAATATGAAACTATCTGTATAGTCTCACTGTTTAAAGTTTAATGCTCAGTAAGAGATATGTAAAAATGTAATTACTGCATATTCGTCGATGGCTTATAATGTTACTTGTCACTTATGGACTTAAATGCTATGGACAACAATAAGGTTTTAAAAAAGAGGTTAAAAAATCTGACCGCTCAATGTTTGAGACTTCGTATATACCGCTAGCGCTGACGACCTTTTACACTGCTATACCGAGATTTAGTAATGTGTTCTGAAAATTCTAGACATTATCATGCATACTGTTTTATCTACAGAAGGGAAGAGTAAGAGGCGGTGGGCATTTTATATTCCATTATTGTCATTTATACAACAAATTAACAAATAATTGTAGGTTTAGTGCAAATCCTTGTCCAATAGAGGGCTAACAACGGAAAAAAAACTGTTACTAGACTGTCAGTCTGTTTTAAAAGACCATTGCGTAACTGTGCAAAAAAAACAGAATGGCTCAGTTGCAAATTTTATGGGTCAAATTTAAGCCCAAAATCAAGATAGTAAAAGGACTAACGAGTATAACAAATATAAAATGTGACTACTCTAGCCTTATCGATGGATCTTAATTCTAAATTGTGTTTTTTTATCTAAGGCAGTAGAAGACAAAAGATCCGACTTTTTCTGTAATGTGTGTATTTTGTGATGTTAATAGAAGAGCAGTTCTGTTTTTGCGAACTTAATGCTGAAAAATTGGTGAAGGTATTTGTTTGATTCTTTAATAATGTAGGTCAGGAAAGTATTATAGTTCGTTCTAGTCGAATCAATAGAAACCTATAAAATGCCAAAACACTATGGAAAATAGCATCTATAGTGACGTAGGCGAATGTTGTTCTCCTGAAATATAATTGGTCGTAGGCAAAAAATAAAACTAGCTCAAAGCACTCAAGTTTTTGTTGTTCCTTTCTTTCAGTAGGTGATATTTGGATGCAGAACGACTATTATCTATCATGAGTTATAATGTTTACACACAACTACACACACACATACACACACGTAAGCTATGGAAAACATAATAATCTTGGCTAAGGTAATAATCATTATATCAGTAGGTCATAGAAGTTGTCAAACATTTTGTTTCAATATTAAGTGTATGCACAAATTACAATTAGAAATGCACATTTTATTGGCTTTGTTAACATTAAAGAACTAGTATAAATGCGAAAACAGAACACTTTACCATGCAGGTCTTTTTTTTACCATACAAGAATGTCTGTATTATTTAATTCTAAGAGTGACAATTTTGGTTTGCACTTAACTTGCTGCAAAAGCACCCAAATAATTTCAAGGCAGTAGAACTGCATTTTCGAAGACAAATTGCTCGTCTCTTTTAAATATCGTAAGTTGAATCAACCGTATGTATCCCATAGCAAGCTACAATTCAAAGGTTCCAGGTTAATACTCGTAGTTCTATACTGTCATGTAAAAAGAAACCTTTTGTATCATTTTGCACATATTGCTTTGAAAAAAGTCACTACCTACATGTATTATCAACTTCACCCGTGGGCGAGGTCTATCTTCAGTCCAGACTCATCGCTGAAAACAATCTTGTTTTTCGAAATGAATATTAATTTATTGTAGAAAAGCGTCAGGTGATATCAACTCTGGAGTGCAGACTTATCATTGAAAGCAAGATTGCTTTTCGAATTGAATATGAGAATCTTTTAAGTGTATCATCTTGTATCATGAACTCTGCCCTGACTAAATGAATGTATCATAAGATCTTACGTACCTGATCATGATTAGTCTAGGCAAGTCGTGGAAACTCGGCTCTGCTACTGTTTCCCGGGCGGCGGTACAGTGACTATTGTCAGAATTTATCACTAAAATAAACTTAGAAGATTTCCATTATTTTGCTCCTTTTAAAAATTGCTCAGAAGATGACTGAAGAGCATAGCAAAGAAAGTGAAGTTCGTAACACGATGACGTCCCCTTCGAACGAAGATGTCAGCAAAGGTAGGTTATAACCTTTTATTATTACGTTTTGGAACATAATTTTTATATGATTCTCCCATTTACGTATATAGCCCACAGGCAAACAGTAATGTATTAATTTAGTAAGATAAACTTTAATCTTGTTCAATTGTCATTGTAGTTTTGATAGGTATTTGTGTTAATAGTCTATCAACCCAACTAAACCAATGTGCATATTTGACCAATATTTTATGCGACTATTTTTCAACATAGAGATATTGGTTTCACGAAATATTCTTGTTTTCTCAAAACACGTTTACTCAGATTATTTGACATTTATCTTGTCAAGGAAGAAAACTGTTCTGTATTAAAAAAACTGAACTTATGTTGGAAATTTACAGATACGGAGAACGTGGTTGAGCTACCTTCCATTAATCACAACTATGAAGCTATTGACAACGACATAGAACAAGATGAAAACCTGAATGGACCACACACTAATAAACAGACGAGTGACGCTACACCGCCTGCTGGTAACAACATCGGTGATCCACTCGACAACGCACTGCACGCGCCTGGTCAACCACAACAAAATAAGGACGGAGGTACGTTCAGATGTTTGTATTCTTTTACTCTGCAACTTTTCGTTTAATCCATTGGTTACATTTTCATTGCTGTATATCATATTCAATTAAATTCATTCTATTCGGTAGTGAGGAATGTGTATCAAACATGTTTCTTTATCATTCGTCTCTTTGAATATTCTAATTATAAAAAGGTATGAATGCTATTCAATTTGAAAGTTAAGCTTTACATATAGCTGGTAATGAAGTAGTCAGAGATAGACATCTACTTAAGACTACGGAAAAGTTATAATTATGAAAATATATTATAATGCGAGCTTTTCTTCAATAACAGGGCAGGTTTGTGTAGAAACGTGGGGTATGTGCCTGGCGCAATACGAAAAGACGAAAAAGAAGGTAACTTATGTTGAACTTGTTTAAATTCTAATGGTGTCACAGGCAAGAACATACAATGGTAAAAAAAATGTACCGAACTGATATATGATAGCCATATTTTCTTTTGCATACTGATACATTTGCATTTATTTCATATCATATCTATGAACAATCTCCAAAAATACTAGCAAAATAGCCTGCTAGCCGCTTCCTTGGCAAGCACGAAATATCATAATTTCATGTCCTCAATATTATCTTCATCTGATTGTTATCTACGTTGACCTAAAGGTTCTACATCAAAGCAAATTTTGCTTTATTGATTATAATTGTCTATTTAAATAACAACCTCCTGGTCTGGGCTTTATATCAGTGTCCTTCTTTTGAATAAGAGAACAAAAAATGCACGTGACCAT